AGAAAACAAGTAGGTAACTAAAAGATGCAAAGATCCAACAACTAAAGAGAAAGGTGCATTGTATAGGCATGCAACCAGCTAGCGAGTATCTTAGAAATAACAAAAACAAATTCAAAGAAATTAATAGAATTCGAATTGAACAAAGAGAGTCGCAAAAGAAAAGAAACGGGCCAACCAAGAAGATTTACATATCAGGCATGGAAAATTGAAGGAACTAAACTACTTTTCCGCTAGGTTGTAGACTGAATATAGACTAGTCCACAGACTAGACTAAAGACTAGTCTACAGACCAGACTATAATATAGACTAAACTATAGACCCAAGACTACACTATAGACTGCGCTTTAGACTAGACTATAGACTACACTATAGACTAGACTATAGTCTAGACCACAGACTAGACAAAAGATTAGACTATAAACTAGACTATAGACTAGACTATAGACAGACTAGACTAGACTATAGACTACACTATAGACAAGCCTAGACTAGACTATAGACTACACTATAGACAAGCCTAGACAATAGACTAGACTATAGACTAGACTATAGACTAGACTATAGACTAGACTATAGACTAGACTATAGACTAGACTATAGACTAGACTATAGACTAGACTATAGACTAGACTATAGACTAGACTATAGACTAGACTATAGACTAGACTATAGACTAGACTATAGACTAGACTATAGACTAGACTATAGACTAGACTATAGACTAGACTATAGACTAGACTATAGACTAGACTATAGACTAGACTATAGACTAGACTAATAGACTAGACTATAGACTAGACTATAGACTAGACTATAGACTAAAGACTATAGACTAGACTATAGACTAGACTAGACTATAGACTAGACTATAGACTAGACTATAGACTAGACTATAGACTAGGACTATAGACTAGACTATAGACTAGACTATAGACTAGACTATAGACTAGACTATAACTAGACTATAGACTAGACTATAGACTAGACTATAGACTAGACTATAGACTAGACTAGACTATAGACCTAGACTATACTAGATATACTAGACTATAGATTAGACTATAGACTAGACTATAGACTAGACTATAGATAGACTATAGATTGGACATAGACTAGACTATAGACTAGACTATATACTAGACTATAGACTAGACTATAGACTAGACTATAGACTAGACTATAGACTAGACTATAGACTAGACTATAGACTAGACTATAGACTAGACTATAGACTAGACTATAGACTAGACTATAGACTAGACTATAGACTAGACTATAGACTAGACTATAGACTAGACTATAGACTAGACTATAGACTAGACTATAGACTAGACTATAGACTAGACCTATAGACTAGACTATAGACTAGACTATAGACTAGACTAGACTATAGACTAGACTAGACTATAGACTAGACTATAGACTAGACTATAGACTAGACTATAGACTAGACTATATACTAGACTATAGACTAGACTATAGACTAGACTATAGACTAGACTATAGACTAGACTATAGACTAGACTATAGACTAGACTATAGACTAGACTATAGACTAGACTATAGACTAGACTATAGACTAGACTATAGACTAGACTATAGACTAGACTATAGACTAGACTATAGACTAGACTATAGACTAGACTATAGACTAGACTATAGACTAGACTATAGACTATAGATTAGACTATATATTGGACTATAGACTAGACTATAGACTAGACTATACATTAGGCTATAGACTAGACTATAGACTAGACTGTAGACTATACCCCAGACTATAGACTAGACTGTAGACTAGACTATATATATATAGACTAGACTATAGACTAGACTATAGACTAGACTATAGACTAAACTATAGACTAGACTATAGACTAGACCATAGACTAGACTATAGACTAGACTATAGACTAGACTATAGACTAGACTATAGACTAGACTGTAGACTAGACTATAGACTAGACTATAGACTAGACTATAGACTAGACTATAGACTAGACTATAGACTAGACTATAGACTAGACTATAGACTAGACTATAGACTAGACTATAGACTAGACTATAGACTAGACTATATACTAGACTATAGACTAGATATACTAGACTATAGACTAGACTATAGACTAGACTATAGACTAGACTATAGACTAGACTATAGACTAGACTATAGACTAGACTATAGACTAGACTATAGACTAGACTATAGACTAGACTATAGACCTAGACTATAGACTAGACTATAGACTAGACTATAGACTAGACTATAGACTAGACTATAGACTAGACTATAGACTAGACTAGACCTATAGACTAGGACTATAGACTAGAATATAGACTAGACTATAGACTAGACTATAGACTAGACTATAGACTAGACTATAGACTAGACTATAGACTAGACTATAGACTAGACTATAGACTAGACTATAGACTAGACTATAGAATAGACTATAGAATAGACTATAGACTAGACTATAGACTAGACTATAGACTAGACTATAGACTAGACTATAGACTAGACTATAGACTAGACTATAGACTAGACTATAGACTAGACTATAGACTAGACTATAGACTAGACTATAGACTAGACTATAGACTAGACTATAGACTAGACTATAGACTAGACTAGACTATAGACTAGACTAGACTATAGACTAGACTATAGACTAGACTATAGACTAGACTATAGACTAGACTAGACTATAGACTAGACTATAGACTAGACTATAGACTAGACTATAGACTAGACTATAGACTAGACTATAGACTAGACTATAGACTAGACTATAGACTAGACTATAGACTAGACTATAGACTAGACTATAGACTATACTATGGACTAGACTATAGACTAGACTAGACTATATAATAGACTAGACTATAGAATAGACTATAGACTAGACTATAGACTAGACTAGGCTATAGAATAGGCTATAGACTAGACTATAGACTAGACTATAGACTAGACTATAGACTAGACTATAGACTAGACTATAGACTAGACTATAGACTAGACTATAGACTAGACTATAGACTAGACTATAGACTAGACTATAGACTAGACTACAGACTAGACTATAGACTAGACTATAGACTAGACTATAGACTAGACTATAGACTAGACTATAGACTAGACTATAGACTAGAATATAGACTAGACTATAGACTAGACTATAGACTAGACTGTAGACTAGACTATAGACTAGACTATAGACTAGACTATAGACTAGACTATAGACTGGACTATAGACTAGACTATAGACTAGACTATAGACTAGACTATAGACTAGACTATAGACTAGACTATAGACTAGACTATAGACTAGACTATGGACTGGACTTTAGACTAAACTATAGAATAGACTAGACTATAGAATAGACTATAGACTAGAGTAGGCTATAGAATAGACTATACTGTAGACCATAGAATAGACTATAGACTAGACTATAGACTAGACTATAGACTAGACTATAGACTAGACTATAGACTAGACTAGACTATAGACTAGACTATAGACTAGACTATAGACTAGACTATAGACTAGACTATAGACTAGACTATAGACTAGACTATAGACTAGACTATAGACTAGACTATAGACTAGACTATAGACTAGACTATAGACTAGACTATAGACTAGACTATAGACTAGACTATAGACTAGACTATAGACTAGACTATAGACTAGACTATAGACTAGACTATAGACTAGACTTAGACTAGACTATATACTAGACTATATACTAGACTATAGATTAGACTATAGACTAGACTATAGCCTAGACTATAGATTAGACTATAGATTGGACTATAGACTAGACTATAGACTAGACTATAGACTAGACTATAGACTAGACTATAGATTAGACTATAGATTGAACTATAGACTAGACTATACATTAGGCTATAGACTAGACTATAGACTAGACTGTAGACTAGACTATACACCAGGCTATAGACTAGACTCTATACTAGACTATACACCAGACAATATATATATATATATATATATATATATATATATATATATATATATATATATATATATATATATAGATTGGACTATAGACTAGACTATAGACTAGGCTATAGACTACACTATAGACTAGACTATTGACTAGATTATAGACTAGATTATAGACTAGACAATAGACTAGACTATAGACTAGACTATAGACTAGACTGTAGACTAGACTATAGACTAGACTATAGACAAGACTATAGACTAGACTATAGACTAGACTATAGACTGGACTATAGACTAGACTATAGACTAGACTATAAACTAGACTATAGACTAGACTATAGACTAGACTATAGACTAGACTATAGACTAGACTATAGGCTAGACTAGACTAGACTATAGACTAGACTAGACTAGACTAGACTATAGACTAGACTATAGACTAGACTATACACTAGACTATAGACTAGACTATAGACTAGACTATAGACTAGACTATAGACTAGACTATAGACTAGACTATAGACTAGACTATAGACTAGACTATAGACTAGACTATAGACCAGACTATAGACTAGACTATAGACTAGACTATAGACTAGACTATGGAATAGACTATTGACTATACTATAGAATAGGCTATAGAATAGACTATAGAATAGACTATAGAATAGACTATAGAATAGACTATAGACTAGACTATAGACTAGACTATGGAATAGACTATTGACTAGACTATGGAATAGGCTATAGAATAGACTATAGAATAGACTATAGAATAGACTATAGAATAGACTATAGACTAGACTATAGACTAGACTATAGACCAGACTATAGACGTAGACGTCAGTTGTGTATTTTTCGATCAAAAAGTACTAAAGCACTGAATTTTCCATGTCTGGTCTGAACTATTCGCATTTGTGTGGTATAAATAAACTTGAACAAAAATCTGTTTTCTTTTGTTCAAAGAAATTTTCTGTAGTTTTATTTTTATTTTTTTTGGGTATAAAATGAAAAAGACGATAAAAGATTTGCTCACTTTTGTCCCGGCAATCAAACGGAAAAGAAGTGGTTGTTTTTAAATAAAAAAACACACAAACAACAATACAATATAGAAAATTTGAATTTGAACATTTTTAAACACGTGAATTTTTGAAAATAAAAAAAAAATATTTAATAAAATTTTGAATGAATTTCTTTTGTTGTTATTAATAATAAAACGCATATTTGAATTTTGCTCTTTATGACGATTGATAAAAAAGAGCTAAAGAAAAAGCAAAATTTCGTATTAATAAAAAGCAAAGAAAATTTTGAAAAACACAACATTTTCCATTGGAACGTTCAAGTGAAAAGTTAAATATTAAAAAAGAAAAATATTTTAAACAATTTTTTTGCTAAAAAAAGAAAATATAATAAATCTTTTGTTAAAAGAAAATTTTGAAGAAAAACGCATAAATAATAAAAAGAAAATTTTTAAAATTTTTTTATAATAAAAAAATAAGTTACATAAATTTTGAAAAAAGGTGATATAATAATTGAGTGAATATTTTGAACACAACAAAAAAAAGCCGTTACTTTTTTTAACAATTTAAAAACAAAACTGAATTGATTATTAACGTTAGATTTTTCAAAACCGTTAATGCGTTTATTGTTTAAGAAACAAAACTGCTAACGACGCGTGTGTCTTATGTGGTGTTAACAGTTCAGCTTAAAGCAAATCATAATAAAACAAAACTTGAAAAAAAAACTGCATTTATTTAAACTAAATTCTTCAAAACAAACTAAAAACAACAATAAAAAATATTTATATTTTTTTTTTTTCGTTTTTGTAACAAATTTTATTTAAATAATAACAAACAAAAAAACACACATACAACCATGGATGTATCACATGAATTGGGAGCATTACGTTTTGTTGTGGTAAGTTATTTATTTCCAAATGAAAACGTAACTTTATTTACAAACATATTACTTTCAAATTTATTATGCCACATTAAAAAACCGTTACAATTTTAAATTAAGTTAATGCAAATTATGCACAAATATTTGTTTGAGTTAACGTAAAAGTTTTATTAGCTGTTGCAGTAAATTATGTGTTAAAAACTATAAGTTTTTTTTACGAGATTTTAATGATACGGAGATTGGACCATAGTTCAGACTATGTGTATCATAATAGTGCAGATTGTGGACTATACTAATCTTTAGACTAGAGTTCAAACTATAGACCAGACTATAGTTCAAACAATAGACGAGACTATAGTTCAAACTATAGACTAGACTAGTTTGGACTATAGTACAAACTAAGCTAAATTCCAGACTATAGACTAAGCTATAGGCCAGACTGTAGAATAAACTAAACCCCAGCCTATTTTCTAAACTATAGGTAGGACTGTAGATGAGACTATAGACTAAATTCCAAACTAGAGTGCAGCCTATAGAATTGACTATAGTTAACACACCCGATTGGACAGTAGTTCAAACTATAGACTAGACTATAGATTAGACTATAAACTAGACTATAGACTAGACTATAGTTCAGACTATATGCTAGACTATAGACTAGACTATAGTTCAGACTACAGACTAGACTATAGTCCAGACTATACACTAACATATAATTGAGACTATACATAGAATTAAGACTACATACAAAACTATATTCCAGAACATAGACTGGACTATAGTTGAGACCATAGCATAAACTATGGACCAGACTTTAGACTAGAGAATAGAAAGAACCATAGTCCAGGTTATAGACTCTATTACAGAGTAGGCTATAGTTCAGACTATAGACTAGACTAGAATAAAATTGAGACTATAGACTAGACTATAGTTGAGACAACAAACTATACTTAAGACTATAGACTAAACTATATCACAGACCATTGACTAGAATATAGTTCAGACTATAGACCACACTATACAATTAACTTACTATACACTAGAATACAACCATAACTAGACTATAGTTGAGACAATAAACTTGTCTTAAGACTAAAGACTAAACTATATTCCAGACTATTGACAAAACTATGGACCAGACTATAAACTAGACTATAGTTCAGACTATAGACTTGGCTATAGTTCAGACTTCATACTATAGAATAGAAAGAACCAGGCTCTATTAAAAACTAGACTATAGACCAGACTATCAGACTCTAGACTAAGCTATAGTTCGGACTATAGACTAAACTAGGCCAAAGACTCACACTTTAGACTAGACTACAGTTCAAACTATATATTCTAGATTGTATTCCGAAATGTAGACTAGCCTATAGTTCAAAATATATTCTAGACTATTGCCCAAACTAGTTCAGGCTATAAACTATAGTCCTGATTATAGAATAGATTATATACAGACTTTATACTATAGTTCGGACTATAGACTGTAGTCCCAACTATAGACTATAGTCCATACTATAGACTAAAGTCCCGACTAACGATTATTGTCCAGACTATAGACTGTATTGCCTACTATAGACTGTAGTCCCGACTATAGACTAATGCCCAGACTATAAACTGTATTGCTTACCATAGACTGTAGACCATACTATAGACTGTAGTCCCGACTATAGTCTATAGTCCAGACTATAGACTATAGTTCAGACTTTATTATACTCTAGGTTAAAGACTATTGTCCATACTATAGCATATAGTCCAGACTGTGGTTCAGACTATAGAATATAGTACTATAGACTAGATTATGGTCCACACTATAGACTAGTCTATAGTCCAGACTATGAACTATAGTTCAGGCCATGGTATATAGTCCAGAGTGCAGACTATACTATAGTCCAGACTAATTACTAGACTATATTGCAAACTATATAACATACCATATTCTTGACCATATACTAGACTATAATCGAATTTCCCTCTTTCCAATTTATATTAATTGCGTTGCTACTATTATGTTGTAATTATTATTTTTACCAGCCACTGTGTGTGAGTAATAGTAACCAAATAAATGTCATGCATACGAAACCAGTTAATGACCATACAATCCATTAACATAGTCATCCAAACTGGCGTGATTTCATTCTTAAATGTTTTACAGCTTTGATCTAATAAATTTTAACTGTTTGACCGGAGGCAGCAGCAGCAACAACAAAAAAGTAGTTATGAAAAATAGTTGTCAGTTTATAGCAAAATCAAGTAGAACTTCTTCTTCTTGGTGATTTGTAGCAAATTGCATTAAATATGACTAGATTCTTAGCATAGAGACACACATTTTAAGATTAACTGATAAGTAATTATACAAAAAATGTTAAAATAAAAAACTTAATATGAAAGATGCTGGATGGCACAGTAAAGACTTGTTTGGGAGATTGTCGAAAATTGGCACAAATTAACAAGAAATGTTTGAATATCAGAGATATAGTACAAACCAGGCATGGCAATTTGAAATTTTTTAATTAAACTAGTCTATAGACTAGACTATAGACTAGATTATAGACTAGACTATAGACTAGACTATAGACTAGACTATAGACTAGACTATAGACTAGACTATAGACTAGACTATAGACTAGACTATAGACTAGACTATAGACTAGACTATAGACTAGACTATAGACTAGACTATAGACTAGACTATAGACTAGACTATAGACTAGACTATAGACTAGACTATAGACTAGACTATAGACTAGACTATAGACTAGACTATAGACTAGACTATAGACTAGACTATAGACTAGACTATAGACTAGACTATAGACTAGACTATAGACTAGACTATAGACTAGACTATAGACTAGACTATAGACTAGACTATAGACTAGACTATAGACTAGACTATAGACTAGACTATAGACTATAGACTAGACTATAGACTAGACTATAGACAATAGACTATAGACTAGACTAGACTAGACTAGGCTATAGACTAGGCTATAGACTAGGCTATAGACTAGGCTATAGACTAGACTAGACTAGGCTATAGACTAGACTAGACTAGACTAGACTGGACTAGACTAGACTAGACTAGACTAGACTAGACTAGACTAGACTAGACTACTGACTAGACTAGAACTAGACTAGACTAGACTAGACTAGACTAGACTAGACTAGACTAGACTAGACTAGACTAGACTAGACTAGAGACTAGACTAGACTAGACTATAGACTAGACTATAGACTAGACTAGACTAGACTATAGACTAGACTATAGACTAGACTATAGACTAGACTATAGACTAGACTATAGACTAGACTATAGACTAGACTATAGACTAGACTATAGACTAGACTATAGACTAGACTATAGACTAGACTATAGACTAGACTATAGACTAGACTATAGACTAGACTATAGACTAGACTATAGACTAGACTATAGACTAGACTATAGACTAGACTATAGACTAGACTATAGACTAGACTATAGACTAGACTATAGACTAGACTATAGACTAGACTATAGACTAGACTATAGACTAGACTATAGACTAGACTATAGACTAGACTATAGACTAGACTATAGACTAGACTATAGACTAGACTATAGACTAGACTATAGACTAGACTATAGACTAGACTATAGACTAGACTATAGACTAGACTAGACTAGACTATAGACTAGACTATAGACTAGACTATAGACTAGACTATAGACTAGACTATAGACTAGACTATAGACTAGACTATAGACTAGACTATAGACTAGACTATAGACTAGACTATAGACTAGACTATAGACTAGACTATAGACTAGACTATAGACTAGACTATAGACTAGACTATAGACTAGACTATAGACTAGACTATAGACTAGACTATAGACTAGACTATAGACTAGACTATAGACTAGACTATAGACTAGACTATAGACTAGACTATAGGACTATAGACTAGACTATAGACTAGACTATAGACTAGACTATAGACTAGACTATAGACTAGACTATAGACTAGACTATAGACTAGACTATAGACTAGACTATAGACTAGACTATAGACTAGACTATAGACTAGACTATAGACTAGACTATAGACTAGACTATAGACTAGACTATAGACTAGACTATAGACTATAGACTATAGACTAGACTAGAGACTAGACTATAGACTAGACTATAGACTAGACTAGACTCGACTAGACTATAGACTAGACTAAGACTAGACTATAGACTAGAACTATAATAGGACTAGACTATAGACTAGACTATAGACTAGACTATAGACTAGACTATAGACTAGACTATAGACTAGACTATAGACTAGACTATAGACTAGACTATAGACTAGACTATAGACTAGACTATAGACTATAGACTAGACTATAGACTAGACTATAGACTAGACTATAGACTAGACTATAGACTAGACTATAGACTAGACTATAGACTAGACTATAGACTAGACTATAGACTAGACTATAGACTAGACTATAGACTAGACTATAGACTAGACTATAGACTAGACTATAGACTAGACTATAGACTAGACTATAGACTAGACTATAGACTAGACTATAGACTAGACTATAGACTAGACTATAGACTAGACTATAGACTAGACTATAGACTAGACTATAGACTAGACTATAGACTAGACTATAGACTAGACTATAGACTAGACTATAGACTAGACTATAGACTAGACTATAGACTAGACTATAGACTAGACTATAGACTAGACTATAGACTAGACTAGACTAGACTAGGACTATAGACTAGACTATAGACTAGACTATAGACTAGACTATAGACTAGACTAATAGACTAGACTAGACTATAGAATAGACTATAGACCAGACTATAGACTAGTCTATAGACTAGACTATAGACTAGACTATAGACTAGACTATAGACTAGACTATAGACTAAACTATAGACTAGACTATAGACTAGACTATAGACTCGACTATAGACAAGACTATAGACTAGACTATAGACTAGACTATAGAATAGACTATA